TTACTAGTGTTATTATCTCTAGATTTATAATCCCATTAACAAATTCTGTTGACATTTTTAAAGATTTAGCTGCACTAAGAAATAAATTCATCATTTAATTTTAATAGATTAAATTCAAAAGAATTAAACTCATCATTTGATTTTAATAGAACTAGACTACTTGTGAATTTATGTAAATGTTTGTTTAAAATGATACACCCTGTATCTTTGGCAATACCAGAGATTGCGTAGGAAAAGTTCCTTGGGTGATTTATTTTGTCTTTTGAATAAGACATTCCAGTTTATTTTTGTTTCATTATTGCTGCTTATTCGAATTATTTCTCAATATTTTATTTTCTTTCTGGAAACTGACAACTCCAACAGTAATAAGTTCAACTGCTTTTCTTTTTTTAGGTTCTCAAGGACATTTATGTGACTTTATTATTTGGGTGATCTCTAAACATAATACAATACCACAAAACCATCCAGCAACCAGAACTTTGAGTTAGTCATTCAAGTTTTTTTATTTGCTACTTGATAAAATAGAAACTCTTTAGTTTTCTTTGACGTTCGCTTAGGATTGTTGTCTTGTTGGAAAATAAAATATTTTTCTAATTCCATAATTTCAGTTAAAAAGAAATGTTGAAATTTCTTTTTTTTTTTTATTCTGATTCACTGCCAACAAGACTACAAGCAACAAGGCTACAAGCAACAAGGCTACAAGCAACAAGACGAAGTTATAGAGAAAGGAAACAGTTGATAGTTGATCTAAAAAGTTAAAGGTTGTATGAGTCAGGAAAACATGAAGATGGGAGAAAGTTCTAAAGGGTTTAAGTGTGGGGAAAAAAACTATACAAAAGTTTTTAAAGCATGCAAGGACAGATAGAGTAAAAGAATGAGACTTTGCTGAATGACAAGTCAAGCGAGAATGAGCTTTAGTTGATGGAACTAGAGGTAATAGCTCCTTTGAGAAACAACCATGATAGTATATTTTAGAAAAGAAAGAGATGCAACTTTACTACAATGGGAAAGAGACTCAAGCTTAGCTAACAGAGCGGATCCAACTAGGAAAGAGCATCATTAGAAGAACCAGCCCAAATGAAAACAGTATTCCATACAGGGTCAAATAAGAGAAGATTAGAGGTAGAAAATGGAATCAGGAGTGAGAAAATGACAATCATGATAAAGAGAATCAACCTTAGCAGATGCTTATTTAGCAATCAATATGTCAATATGGTCTCCATGAAAGGTCAGTAGTAAAGGATAATCCAAGAAGATGTTAAGAAAAGGACTCAGTGACAGGGTTGCCATTCATTAATATAGGAATGTCAACAGTACTGCGATAGTTGTTTGCAGTAAATAACTGAGTTGTTTTTGTTGTTAAAATTGTACAAGCCACTGTGAACCATAATCTGCTACAGAAGTGGGATCAGATATAAGATTGGCTCCCTGTTCTAAGCAATCAAAAAGAGAAGACTTTTTGCCAAGACAGGAATATAAAGTTTAGATGTAGGGTTGTCGGGATGATCATTAATGTAGATGGGGAAACAAAACAGGACTAAGGATAGAACCTTGAGGTACCCCAGAAGTTACTGGAAATAAAGAAGAGTATTGGACATCAAGGATGACTTTAATAAAGCAGTTAGAAAGAAACAATTTGATAATCTCAAAAACTTTCCTAGATACACCATATGAACCAAGCTTGATAGGCCTCTGAGTCCATAATTTTAATAATAAATATAAATTTTTTTGTTCTGCTTCATATTAAACTTAGCGTTTGGTCTTGCTGATTTTTCACATATCCACACTTTTTAATCAAATCCCTAATGCAATTCTTTTAAGTCACTTCTTTTATCAACCTGATAAAAGAAGTGACTGATAAATAAAAGTAAATTTTTATCAACCTGATAAAAGAAGTGATAAATAAAAGTAAATTTTCATTGCTATTATCTTGAATAAACATTGACTTTTGCATTTTCTAAATATGCAGTATTGCCTTGTCCTTGATATTATTGAGATAAGCTGTAATAATAGTAAAAATAATGTATAATGAAACACGACATAATTTTTGTTTTAAAAATATAAAGTTTAAAAATAAAACAACCAAATGTCCTTCCTGGCATTAACTTTTCTTGGAGATCAAGGGTGAGTTTATGTTATGTTTCCGTTAGTAGGATTATCATTAAAGGTTTATGAAATTTTCCTTACTCACAATTAAACTGGGGGTTTAACATTAGTTTTTTTTTTCATTGTAAAAATCCCTCACCTGAGAAGTAAGAGTATTTTTTTTTTTTTATTAAATGCTTTATGATAATTTATCATAAAATACTTAACTTTAGTTTACTAAAACACTTAAACTACATGATTGTATAAAAAAAAGGAAATATTAATTTATAATTCAGAGTAAATTAGGTTGACTGGTTTAGCTAAAAAAATAAAAATTTATCATATTTACCTAATTAGTTACCATACCTTAAGCTTTTTATTATCTTTTTCAACACTTGTGTTCTCCTGTAGATCT